TAAGTCTCATCTCTGTTACTGTGCCCTAGAAGCAAGAAGGTCCTTGGTACTGTAGCCCAATGTGTCATATGGCCCAGGACACGAAAGCCACGGTGGTCTGCTTCCTGTGGCTCTCAGCTGTGATATAGATGACACATGCACAGATGAGACTCCAGCCTCCCTGGGCAGCCTTCCTGAGTCTTGGCAGGACCAGCTTGTAATGAATTCCAGGCTTCCAATGACCCTTGCTTCCCATCTGTACAGAATGAATCTGCTTCATGTAACTAACAGATGCAAGTTTTCTGTCTCAGTAGAGGCAGGATTTGGAAACCATCACACATCACACTTCTCTACACTTTCCCAGAACAGGCAGGCCTGTCACTCCACATTCTCATCAACAGCAGACAAATGAAGGCACTTTAAAAGTTTACTTAACATCTCTGTAGAACAACTGAAGAGAGTGGAGGTCTCCTTTTTAGTTATTCCTGGATATGACATTGACTGCTTATTTTGGTTGTTCTTTTTTTTTTTTTTTTTCCTTTTGGTTTTCCAAGATAGGGTTTCTCTGTAGCTTTGGAGCCTGTCCTGGAACTATCTCTGTAGACCAGGCTAGCCTCAAACTCACAGAGATCTGCTTGCCTCTGCCTCCCAAGTGCTGGAATTAAAGGCGTGCACCACCACTGCACCTCCTGGTTGGACATGACCTGATGAAAACAATCCATAGCCTCTAGCCCCCATGGTTAGTTTCATGTTTTGGGACGATGTCCATAGGGGAAAATCATTGCAAACAAGTTAGGTCAAAGAAGGCTTCAGGAAAAGAAAAAAAAAGTGTTTTCAGCTTGTTGTAAGCCACCACATGGGTTCTGGGAACTAAACTCAGGTCCTCAGCAAGAGCAGAAAATGTTCTTAACCACTGAGTCCATCTCCCCAGCCCTTACCTGTGGTTCTTATGAATAATTAGACTATTGGGGACTCTCTGTCTTGAAATAAATTGGTTGCTTTAACTGTAAATGAAAGTATTTTTAAAGAAAGTTGAAAATGTATTCTAAAAGACTCTGAGAAGAGGAAAGAAAACGCATTTATTGGGATAACAAGTCAAACAGGTGTCAATATATCTCATGCATTTATCACAGCAACACTGTAAAAAAGATATCTTACTGGGTGATGGTGGCACATGCCTTTAATCCCAGCACTCAGGAGGCAGAGGCAGGCTGATTACTGTGAGTTGGAGACCAGGCTGGTCTACAAGAGCTAGTTCCAAGACAGCTTCCAAAGTCACAAAGAAACCCTGTCTGGAAAAATAAACAAATAAAGTGGGAAAAAAAAGATATTGTGTCCATTCTACAAATAATTCAAGTGGAGTAACTTTCTAAACAAGCTGTAGAATTAAGTGAGAATGTGAAAAGAAGAAACCCTATTTCCAGAAGCTCCTAGTGGCCTTCATCTCAAAAGTGTAAAAAATAGGAGACAACACATTGATTAAAAAGACAGAAAGACTCCTAGCAATAGTGGAGAGAGTGCCTGAACTGGCCTTCCCCTGTAGTCAGATTGGTGAATACCCCAACTGTCATCATAGAGCCTTCACCCAGTAACTGATGGAACCAGATGTAGAATATATGAACAAGGGAGGTCAAGATCATGTCAGGTAAATCTACAGAAACAGCTGAACCAAGCTCATGGAAACTCATGAACTCTAGACCGACAGCTGTGGAACCTCCATGGGACCAAATTAGGCCCTCCATATGTGGGAGACAATGTGTGAAGCTTGGGCTATCTAAGCCCCCCCCCCTGTAATATGACCAGGATCTATCCCTGGTATACGTGACTCCCCTTGGGAGCCCTTACCCTTTAGGAGGAGTGGAGGAGTGGATAGGGGGTGGGATGGGAGGGAGGTGGGGGCGGTGAAGAAGAGTGGGAAGGAGAACTGTAGTTGGAATGTAAAAATGAAATTTAAAAAGGAGTACACATAAATTCATGAGAAAATTATATTCTTAAGTTTAATGCATATCATTAATGTGAAAATATCAAAAAATAAAGACTATATGGATATTGACGATGACAACAACAACAGCAAAAAAGACAGAAAGAAAGAGAATAAGAGAAGAATCTCAGACTTGGGGTTTATGTGTTCAGGGCAGGAAAATGGATTCCTCTGAATCTGTTTCTTTACCTGTTAAGGGAAGGTAATGTCACCTCCTTCACAAAACTGAAGTAATAAGTAATAAATTAGGGGGAAAGTGTTTGAAAAATGTAAATAATGTATATCATATTCTAATATAAGTACAGTCAGAGTCATAAGGAGGACTGATAAAATGTAGGCATGCATAGTATGGCCCCATGTGGTCCCTAGGTTTCCACATGTGCAAATCACTGCTGTGTTTACACTCAAGCACCTCGGTAACACATTGTATTTTAACAGAGAGTATCTATCCTTTACATAAAGAAATTCAAAATGTTTACTTTATTTCCCAGGAAGTAGAAAAATAGGTAAGTGATTGTCTTTACCCATGACATTCTGGATTGTGTCAATTAGGCCATTCTGGTCTATGTCAATATTATGACATATGTTATTTGTGTGTGTGTTTGTGTGTGTGTGTGTGTGTGTGTGTGTGTGTGTGAGTGCAGAATTAGTAATAGCTAATGGTATAAGGACTTACACATAATTTCAAAACACCAGTGTTTAAGAAAAACGGGAATTAAATCGAAATCTGGAAGAACAAACAAGGAATTGGTGGAATGTGTCTGGAGAAGAGATATAGGTGACTACGATAAAGACATTACATTTGTACTCCTTTGCATTCTTCATTAGAAGTTTGAACCACACGCTAGTGTGTTACTCTTAAGAAATAGACTGAAGGAGAATGCAGTGGTTTGAATCTTTAATCCCAATACTTAGGAGGCAAAAGCAGGTAGATCTTTGAAGTCTTTCTGTTTGTTTGTTTGTTTGGTTGGTTTCCCTTTTTCCAGACAGGGTTTCTTTGTGTATCATGTGCTGTCCAGGAACTAGCTCTGTCGACCAGGCTGAACTCACAAAGATATAGAAATCCGCCTGCCTCTGCCCCCTAGAGCTGGAATTAAAGGTATGCACCCCCCCCCATGGGATCTCTGAGTTTTAGGGCAATCAGGATGACATACCAACTTCTAGGGGCCCGCTACAACTACATACCCTTACACACACACACACACACACACACACACACACACACACACACACACACACACACACACACACACACACACCACTGAAACACTATCCACCAATTTCCTCTACTGCCATGGAGTGTTACAATGCTCAGATTTTGAGTGCCAAGATCCAGATGGGCAATGCCTGCTGGGAGCTCTACTGCCTAGAACATGGTATCCAGCCTAATTAAAAGATACCAAGTGACAGGACCACCACTCAGGAGACCTTATTCACTTTATTTGGGGAGACAGGCACTCACAGTCGTGGATGAAGTTCACACTAATACCTACTGCTAGCTTTTCCACCCTGAGTAGCTCATCACAGGCAAGGAAGATGGTGCCAGTGACTATGCCAGTAGACACAACACCATGGGCAAGCAGGTCATCATTAATGTCATTGTGGACTGAATTTACAAGATGACTAACCAGCTCCCAAGTTTTTAGGGCTTGTTTCATCTTTTCCAAAGCCTTGTTTGGAAACATTGATTTGATTTTGTTCATCTCCCTGGTGATGGGATGACATTCTTGATTTTGGCAACTGAGAGTTTTCCATTAATCACCACCCGTCTTTCCTTAAGCACTCTGAATTGTCTTCGTGGCAGATATGAAACATCTGTCAGAGAAACCATGATAACCAAGACCCAACCTACACTGATCAGAACCACCTCACCAGGCAATGGTGTTTCCAACACTGCCTTTCTCAGATTTGATGGAGCCCTAAATATTTATCCCACAGAATTGCAGACCAACCTGATACCCTACCCTCACATCACTTCCCTCTGGCTATATATGACCATGACCTAGTGGAGACCTAGAGAAGACAAAATGAGCTGTGTGCATTCTAGGCAAGATCATAGATACCGTGGAGACTCAGGCTCCCCTAGACTACAAGTTTGATATGGTGTTTGCCAAGCATACCTTTGTATGTGGGTGAGAGCGTAGAAGAAGAGTTTTCTGGAACCCAAGATGATACGGCTATCCTAGAGAAGGGTTAAGAGGCTGGAAGATAGTGCCAAAGGACAGGATGCTGGTGAAGGTTATTAGCTGGTGTGCTGAAATTTTACACTTCATTGTTTGGGAACTTGTTGCCCCTAGTTTTAGAGTTGTCTCTGGTAATCCTAAACTATCAATAGAGGTAACGTTTCCATTAAAAAAAATAAGGGGTTGGAGAGATGGCTCAGCAGTTGGTAATGCTTACTCTTCTCCCCAAGGTAGTAGTGTGGTTCCCAGAAACCACATTTGCTTGTAACTTGAGCTCCAGGGAGGTTCAAAGGCCTCTTCTGGCCTCTGTAAGCACTCCCACACACGTGGCATTACCCCCACCCCACATACATATAAATAAAAAGAAACATTTTTAAAGCTAACCACTGGTGATTGTGCCTCCCAGCTCCTGGGATGCTTAAAGGGAATCCCCTTAAAATCAAATGAGTTTAAAAGGGGAAACGTAAGGCCTTCCCTTTTTCAGTCTCTAAAGTTAAAACATTCGAAACCAATTTCTGGAAACCTACTTTTCCTTTCCCTTTCCTCTCGCTTCCGAAAGCCTCAGAGCCCGCCCTACTCCCGCCCCCCAGTCAGGCTCGTGGCCCCGCCCACTCGGCCCTCACAGGTGCCCTCCGCTCAAGCCACGCCCCCAAAGTGTCACCTCCTCCCACCTGGCCCTAAGCC